GGATCATGTGATGACGTCACGTACGTGCTTTCGTCGAGCGCACTTTTGTGGACCGCGGTTTTGACGGGTCACGCTGGGAAAACCCAAATCTGAAAGCTTCCAGGTTTTCCCCACCTAAATAAAAGTTCAAGTCCTTGCCTCAGCATCCACATGTCCATCACATGATCCTCCCAGTTACATTATCGCAGCTGCAAGGCAAGGTGGCCTTGACTCTCTCAGTAAAGAATGTTATTTTGACTATATATCACCCACATTCTGTATAATCCCCCCTCCTATTTTCCCACAGTAGAAAATAATGGCAGGCCTTAAGGCCCAATGTAAAAGATGGCTTCCAAGTCTGACAGTTGCATTGTCAGGTATCAGAGTAGTATTATCAGCATTGATATTTTTTCTTCCCATTTTAAACACCCCCCCCCCTCATATGCTTAGCATATAGAATGAATAAATAAGGAGAGAGTATATAACCTCATCTCACTCCTTTGCTGACCTTGTGCCAGCCTTTTCTGCGATGTTCCATCTGGACTGTGGCTTTCCCAATGGTTTGGGATTCCCATTTTGCTAAGGACATTCCATAGTTTTACAGTTTATTTTTGTCAGCATGTGAAACTAAAGATACTGTGTGATAGTTTCCACAAACAAAAGTCTCCTTTTTTTGGTCTTGGTTGGTAAACTGGCCTGTTCCAATATGTTGTCCACTGTATGATCTTCCAAATTTGTCGGCATTGTTTGCTTCGTATCGTTATCCATCCTCCTCATTCCACCAACAACATTCCTTCATTTTGCAGAATACACGGCTGCTCTATGCACTCGTTTCAGAAACACGTCGCTATTCTTCTGTACTGGATTCCATCATAGATGCTGCTGGTTTGTTCCGCGCTGAAAAAAAGCTGCAGCCACATCTGGCCAAGGTGAACAGGTGTGACCATTCCTTATGAGAAGGTTGAAGCCATTTTTTATACAATCTACAACTTCTTACCTGGAGTTGTTTTGCATTTGGTAACTGCATAGATCATTATATGCTTGGAAATGCACAATCAGCAGCTTGTAGGTGACTTCAACCCTGGGTTGCTCAGGTGGACAGGTTTGGGGGAAATGAACAACAACAGGCCCCTTTTCTAGTACCTGATGAGAGTGGAACAACGAGATAAGGGAAAGTCCAACAATATGAATGGGGTGGAATGTAGAAAAAGCAAGCAATGTCAGTTGCTTTTTTTTCTCCTCTCTTTCGCTGAGCTCTCTTGCTTCTAGACCAACGATGGCGAACCTTTTTTGGCTCGTATGCCATAAGTGGGGGGAGCACAGGGGGGTCGTGCGTGGGCGTGCCGCACCCATAATGCAATGCACAACCCTCCCAGTGTGCATGCGTGCATGAGAGGTGCTCCCCCCCATTTTTTGCATGCTTTTTTCGCCCTTCCCAGGCTCCAGAAGCTTTATAGGAGCCTAAGGAGGGCGAAAACAGCCTCCCCACCCCCCCAGAGGCCCTCCGGAGGCTTCAGGGACCTTCAAGAGGTTTCCCTAAAGGCTCCGGAGGACTAAAAACGACCCTACGAGCAAACAGGAAGTCCGTTCCTGAACTTCCGGTTTGCCCGTAAGCCCGGATTTTCCTATCAGGAGGCTTCAGGCGAGCTCCTGAAGCCTCTGGAGGGCCTCTAGGAGGTGGGTGGGGGTGGAGGTGTTTTTCCCAGCCCCCAGAAGCACTCTGCAGGCTTCAGCAGGGCTGGGGGAAGGCAAAAATGCCTGTTTTTGCAAAAAAGCCCAATTTTCTGGCTGTTTTTTGCAAAAATGGGGGCGTTTTTGCCTTCCCCCAGCCATGCTGAAGCCTGCAAAGTGCTCCTGGGGGCCGGGGAGGACAAAAACCTTTTTTTCTTACTTACCTCTTCGAAATCTTGGTGTGTCTTATAGTCCACAAAATACGGTAAATATATCATGACTCAAACAATGTTAGATGTGCCTTTCATTGCCTTCTTTCATTCTATCTTACTGATGTTTTCTTACTTCCTTGCTGATGCTGTCCAGGTGTGGCCTATGCATCTTCTTAAAAAAGCTTTCCTGGATACACTACAGCTGACACCTCCTCAATCCAGTTCCAGCTGGATACAGAGCCAGATGTTCCACTCTTAGGTTCAGATCCAAGCTATTTTCCCCTGCTCCTCTCCTTTCTTAGGTGTTGGTATATGACTTACTCATTGGCAAGGGACTTCATGGTGGAGGACGTGGGAAGGCCCTGGTATTGAAGCATCATGCGCGTCTCCAGGCTGAGCTTGCCCGCTTGAAGGTCCAGAAAAAAGTGAGCCGCAATGAAGATCTTCTGCCACCAGCTGGAGACTCTGACAAAGGTAGATGCTTAGAGTTTTTGGAAGAGGTCAGAGGGTCGAATTTAAATAGACGGCAGTGTTACATCAGCTGCAACTGAAAAAAAATAGGAATAAAAACTGCAGCTTTTGGAAAGCCTGTCTAAAGTGTTTGGCCAAATTGTCTCTTGGCAGCAGTTGTGCAGGCTTCAATGCTCTCTGTCTGCAACTAAGGACAGCTAGTCAGACAGCCGAAGTTGGATTTGCATATTATGTTAAATCACCATGAGACGTATTTGGTTTGGCTTCATGGGTTGTGTGAACCAACCATTATGGTTCATAAAATACGATTTATGAGTTACTGTGCTGACTGAACCTAGAGAACTGGAGCTTACTCAGGCCATGATGAGACAAACTAAATATAATGTGTAAACCAGGGTAATGCCTATGGACAGTTTTCTTACAACCTCTATTCTGGCTATGTGAGATGTTGTTCTTGCGGGATCAAAATGGGTACAAAAGACAAAGCAGTTACACATTATGGAAAACCCAGGAACTCGATTTTCAGAAGATCTGGACTACTGCAACGTGCTCTACATGGGGCAGCCCTTGAAGAGCATTCGGAGACTTCAGCTTGTCCAGAATGCAGCCGCGCGAGCGATCGTGGGTGCACCTTGGTTCACCCACGTAACACCTATCCTCCGCGAGCTGCACTGGCTGCCTATTGGTCTTCGGATACGCTTCAAGGCGCTAGTCATCACTTATAAAGCCCTTCATGGTATTGAATTGGGTACTTGAGAGACCGCCTGCTGCCAATTACCTCCAAT